AAAAACGGCTTACTATACTATGTCGTTTTTTTTCGCGCAAAAAACGGCTTACTATACTATGTCGTTTTTTTTCGGAAAAAAACGCCTTACCATACATGGTCGTTTTTTTCGGGCTAAAAACGCCTTACTATACATGGTCGTTTTTTTCGCGCTAAAAACGCCTTACTATACTATGTTGTTTTTTTCGGGCTAAAAACGCCCTACTATACATGGTCATTTTTTTCGGGCCAAAAATGCCTTACTATATATGGAGTTTTTTCGCGCTAAAAAACGGCTTACTATACTATGTCGTTTTTTTCCGGCTAAAAATGCTTTCCTATACTATGTCGTTTTTTTCGGCAAAAAGCACCTTACTATACTGTGTTGTCTTTTTCGCGCTAAAAACGCCTTACTATACATGGTCGTTTTTTTCGGCAAAAAAACGCCTCACTATACATGGTCATTTTTTTCGTGCTCAAAACGGCTTACTCTACAATGTCGTTATTTTCGGAAAAAAACACCTTACAATACATGGTCATTTTTTTCGGGCTAAAAACGCCTTACTATACATGGTCGTTTTTTCGCGCTAAAAACGGCTTACTATACTATGTCGTTTTTTTCGCGCTAAAAACGCCTTACTATACTATGTCGTTTTTTTTCGCGCTAAAAACTGCTTACTATACCATGTCGTTTTTTTCGGCAAAAAACGCCTTACTATACATGGTCGTTTTTTTCGGGCTAAAAACGCCTTACTCCACATGGTCATTTTTTTCGGGCCAAAAATGGCTTACTATACATGGTCGTTTTTTCGCGCTAAAAACGGCTTACTATTCTATGTCGTTTTTTTCCGGCTAAAAATGCTTTACTATACTATGTCGTTTTTTTCGGCAAAAAACACCTTACTATACTGTGTCGTTTTTTTTCGCGCTAAAAACGCCTGACTATACTATGTCGTATTTTTTCGGCAAAAAAATGCCTGACGAAACATGGTCGTTTTTTCGGGCTAAAAACGCCTTACTATACATGGTCATTTTTTTCAGCTAAAAATGCCTTACTATACATGGTCGTTTTTTTCGGCTAAAAACACCTTACTATTCTTCAGGGGTGTTTCACATACGGCCGACCGTTCCGCAAGGTTTGATCAGGCCTGCAGTATAAGTGAAAAAATGCACAAAAGACACGGAATGAATATTTTTAATAGTGTGCAATTCGCGGAATGTCTGCTAAGGGGAGACACTATTTTGATCAGAGGAAAAGACAACATTGTTTTGATCAGAGAAGAAGACATCAGCAGCCTCAGTCTGTCACTGAGACAGACCCAACACAACAAGCCTCATTTCATTTTTCAGAGTTGAAGGAAGGTTGTTCTTGGGTCCTCCGTGCCACAAGAGGGAGTCACCTGCTCACCGCCAGAGTCCACCTGCGAGCACAGACCTGTAGGCAACACTTTTTGCTCCATGACAGCCCCGTCCAAATCCTTTGGCTGCTTTCTGTTCGAGTCATCGAGCTGACCAACAACCACGTCCAGGGCTTTCGGATCAGGACCATTGAGGATAAAATACTCCAAGAACCTGAGGGAAAGTCAACAACGAAGATGGTTCTGCCCTTCATCTTATTTCATTCAATAATTTTGGCCATTCTGACAACCCTGCACACCACGCCGCAAAACTCCATAAATTTTCTGACGGGCGTCATGTTCACAGACAAATGTAACGTCCTTCGAAATTGTGAAGTTAGAGCGAAAAAAATAAAATTTATTTGTCAAATACATTTTTGTTTCTATTTTTGTCGCAGATACCAGGGCACCTAAAAAAAAATTCAAAAATATTTCTAAATGAATTAGTTTACAATTAAAGTTCGATTTTATTTTAAAATTGACATGTTCCATCAGACATCTATTTTGTAAGTTTTCAGCGAATGGACGGACGTAGCAAAATACTATGTGTAATTCAAATTGACGGGCCACTATGCATACAAAGTCCAGCCTATCCTGATTGCAGAAGCACTTTAGATTCTGACACGTTCATCAATTACAGGCTCGTTGAGGTTTACTTGCACTGCTCGTCTTTCAAAAGGTCAAATTTGCCACGAGCAACGCCACGGTCAGTCGACAAATGTAACGGTCACCATCCATTAGCTATCCTATTAAAACAGCTGATGACACCCGGCTAATCTGCATATGAAGTGTCACCGAGTCACAATCTTCAACTCGTAGATGTAGAACAGCAGCTGCAGTGGAAATGATAAGTCGTCAAACAGCGACACTGAGCTATCTGGAGCATGTCATAGGATGATATTCAAGCGGGACCCCTTCTGGTATCACTGCAAAATGTTCACAGTTCCAGTGAATTACTTTGATTCGCCATTATCGGTGACAACACACATTGCTGGTTTCAGGTTACACGTGCACACACGTGGAGTACATCTTCCAACGGTTCCCTTCCAACGCCGACCTGTAATACTGTACGCTTGCATATCTTGCCACAGATAAGAAGGGCTGGGTCGGTTGCCGACATTTATTTATAGTTTACTTCTTCCATTTCAATTTGTAAAGTAATAGCACAGGTGACCATCTTATGCCAAAGGGCACACAGAGGGGAAAAAAAAAGAAAGAAGTGCTCAGTCTGAAGTGAAAATCTCTTTGCGGGATTGTACGATGTTATTCGAATGGCTTATTAGCAGGTGCCACAAGCGCTCGTCTTCGCTGCTCTCATCGGTGTCCCGAGGTGACCTCGTGCAACATTCTGGTCTTTATTGCAGGTGCCAACTCCAGCAAATAAGACACCAGCAGCGCCTCCCGATATGTCATTCCCCGTAGCTCATCCATTATTTTTAGCTGGGATCCAATCCTACAACTTCACTTAATATGGGAAAAACGGTGCTGCATCCCTGATTTTTATTTCATTTCCACACATGCATGAGTTGCACCATTCGCTTCCACACCTCGTGCCAGCCTTCATTTGCCCTCTCAACCAAATTTGACGTGTATGAAACATATGCGCGCACGCACAAAGCCGTCCCCGCCAGCAACCACGCAGGCCCCCGCCTCCTCTTACCCCACATAGACACACACTAACACCAACTTAGCTCAGCCCCCCCGCCACTGATACCCCCTGAGCCCCAATACCAGCGGCCCATGGGGGCTTTTTATTAAGGTGGATGTAGGAGTTGGTCTTGCTCTCTTCTGGGTGACGCGGACTGGAAAGGGTTGCTCATACTTACACCAAAGGTTTTTTTTTTGTGTGTGTTTACATTCTGAAACTGCAACTACGTTTCATCCACTCCTGAGAGGAGCCATGAAGTGGACCTGGGTGTTTGTGGCAGTTTTGCTGTCCTTTGCGGGCCTCTCGCTGGGTAAAGACAGCTTGGATTTCCCCGAGTACGACGGCAAGGACAGAGTCCACGACCTCCACCTCAAGAACTACAAGTCTGTGATGAAGAAGTATGATATCATGGTGGTGTACTACCATGATCATCCCGCATCCAGCCGCGTCGCCCAGAAACAGTTTGAAATCGAGGAGTTGTCCCTTGAGGTAAGTTGAGTTGGAAATGATTGGCAGAGTGATGCGCATGGGACAGCGTTTATAATAGAACGTAGGACTCGTATCTTCAATCATGACATCATTACAAGACAATGTTCACTCCGATATTGCTGGAATCAATATAAAGCAATCAAGGTGTGTGAAATTGAAGGCGGGGACTTGGATCACGTTATCTTACAAGGTGGGAAATCGCTTCTGTGAAATGCTGGTCGGTGCCAGCGGCGCGTTGACGACGTCGTCCACCTGAAGCCGAGGACTTGTGTATGTCGAGTACCAAATGTGCACGCGCCGATGCCGCCCCGTCACTCTTTGTGCCATTCCGTGGGCGGTCTATCAACAGCAGACTCAGATGTTTCGACACATTCCGAAGAGCCCAGCACGAAATCGTCACTCCGCTTAAAGCCTCAGCATGCGGTCCGCACCTATCAAATAGTACCAAAGAGGATTTGTAGTTTATTTTTGAAACAATTTGTTGACTTTGAAGTGCCTTTAAATGTCACAGTGCTTTTGGACCCTAAACGGTGGTGATGTAACACATACAAATACTGCATGGATGTAGTTTGAGCCCTCTTATGAAATGCTTTTGGTCCAACTTGACGTGAGAGCATGATGTGACTTATGCACATCAACTATCAGTCAATAAGTGTTTGCATCCATATTCTCGATCAATCAAGTCTATCTCATCAGCCACTTAGCATAATTGCATTGCATTTTTCAATATTTGGGGAGAGAGAAACAAGAAGAAAACACAATTTTTAGACTGCACCCGGCTATTTGTTACTGGGTCTTTTTGCTTTCGCTGACTTGAAGTTGTTACAATATCAAGTTTAAAAAATACTAATGTGTGAACTAAAAATTGTGTTTTTTTTCCTTGTTTTCCCCCCAAAATTGAAAAATGCCTGAGGCAATGATGCCATGCAGCAGACGATATATAGTGTACCTATATGCAATGTATATACTGTATACTGTGTGTGTGCGCGTATCGATAGACAGACAGACATATATTCCAATGAAAGTAGATCCTTGCAAATAAAAAAGAGCTAAAAGCGCAAAGGCTGAGCATCTCACTTCCTGCTGACAAGCAAGCCAGCGCCAGAGCCTCTGGCTCCGCTTGTGCCTGCTCAGCTCTGTGCTATGATTGACACTTGCAATACTGGATTTGTCAGCGGATCTCGGTGCACTGAGCATCACTGCCAGCTCACCAAAATAGTCCCCGGAGCTGCTGTGGCTCTTTGGATATATTTATCCTGAACTGCTTTTTGTGGTCGGTTGTGTACTCCAAAGGTTTGTGTTTCGAAGCATTCATCTAGATATATATTTACTTTTAACCATCAAGATGTTATTATTAGGAACAACTTATGGCAAAGTTTCAACATTTTAGGCATCGGATGCTCTGTGCGGTTTAAAATGTCAATATTACGGCCTTTGGTCTCAGGAAAAGTCGTCCCTCTGTGAGTTTGTGTAGCATGGGATGGAAATCTCACAAGTCGGTCAATTCAAGCACTTATTCCCGATTTATACATTAAGTATGAAAGCTTTTCATGCTTTGGATTTCAGCAAGTCAAATGTCAGTGATCGCTGCATCATCCTGTAGGAGAAGAAGCCATCTTTTTATGATCATGGCATGAAGTCAACGTCTGGTCGTTATGTTGGCGCTCACTGGTTTCCCCCCCAAAATAGTTCTCAAGCATCGCAATCACATAAAGGACAAATGGATCCTTATAAAACCATCGACGTTCAGAAGGAGCCGTTCCGAAGCTCATTTGTTTATTCCTGTTCTTTGAATTGGCTGTGCGCACGCTCCAAACAAACTGGAACAGCGCCTCGAGACACTTCCTGGTTGAATGTGACGATCCCATTGGTGAAAGTAACTGTCAGTCAAAAGGTTCAAGTTTCAGACAGATTTAGAAAGTGCCTGTGAGCAGCGCACGGCTAAACAAGGCTTTTATGGTCATGAAACAACCAGTGGAGAAACCACTCAAAAAGAACCCCCCCCCCAAAAAAAAATTCTAGATTTCTATTTCTATTTATGTGGCTCTGTTCAGCATAAATTGTACTGAGGATTCCAATTTGAGTTTGGTTTGTTTTTCCAGCTTGCGGCCCAGGTCCTAGAGGAGTTTGATGATGAGGACATCGGAGTTGGTCTCATTGATGCGAAGATTGACAAGGCTTTAGCGAAGAAACTAGGTAAATGCTTCATCCCGTATATGCTAAAAACATCATTGTCATATGGAAACGACCTGATTCCTTGACAATCAATCAATCAATCAATAAAGTAGCGGTGGTTCCGCGGGGCCACGCCTTAACTTTCTGTTTTGGTTCTGCCCTCGCAGGCCTTGAAGAGTCGGACAGCATCTTCATCTTCACAGATGACGAGGTCATCGAGTATGATGGCGAGCTTGCGGCAGACACTCTTGTGGAGTTCATCTTTGATGTTCGTGAGGATATAATCCCCCAGTTAATAGCTGCCCATTTCTAAGTGGGGGGCGGGGAAGATACTTAGCTGTACTCCTTCTTTCTTTGAGGACAGTCTCTTACGCCGGTTGCCTCTTTTCTCTCCCCTCCGCGCCTTCGCATTTCCTTCACAGCTCCTCGAGGATCCCGTGGAAATCATTGACAACAGTCGGGAACTGAAGGGCTTTGAAAACATCGAAGAGGACATCAAATTGGTGGGCTACTTTAAGAGTCACAAGTCAGAACGTAAGAATCTGTGCTGAAGCAATAAATGCGTCGTCGTGCCGCACACATTTGCCAAGACACTTCGAGACTTTGGTGGTTGCATGTTAAATTTCAGATTTTGAGGCTTTTGCTGATGCTGCTGAAGAGTTCCACCCTCACATCAAGTTCTATGCAACATTCAATGCTAAGGTAGGTACCCCCTATTATTATTGTGTTAATAGGAAGAGCTCAGATTTGCTCTTTATTTGTACTGTGGGATAAAATTGTGTGCCTGTATCAATTTTTTTTTTAAAAATGGCCAACAGATTGCCAAGGCTTTGGACCTCAAGCTTAATGAGGTGGACTTCTATGAACCCTTCATGAACGATCCAGTTGTTATCCCAGGAAAACCCTACACTGAGGAAGAGCTGGTGAAGTTCATTGAAGACAATGACAGGTGTGTTCAATTTCTACGAGAAATGCATCATTTCAGTTTTTTTTTTTTTAAACAATTAAAAATTTACATTTTTTTGGTGCTTCTGAAGGCCAACTCTCAGGAAGTTGCAGCCCCACAACATGTATGAAATCTGGGTAAGAGCAACAATAGCCATTTTTGTGTTCACTATTCAATCAGTGTTTGGAAATTGACTTCAAAGTTTTTTTTTTTTTTTTTTATGTGCAATATGTCTGCATTCTTTCCAAAGGATGACCCTGTTGATGGCGAACACATCGTCGCTTTTGCCGAGGAGTCTGATCCAGGTAAGGGAACATCACCCGAACAAAACTGAACAAATCAAGTCAAAAGACAAGTAGGACAATAGTACATTGTCTTCGTTTTTACGCTGCTTCACCCCTTCAGATGGCTTTGAGTTCTTGGAGATCCTGAAGGAAGTCGCGGAGGACAACACAGAACATCCTCACCTCAGTATTGTCTGGATTGATCCTGATGACTTCCCGCTGGTACGATTAGTAGACTAACCTCAACAATGACTAACAAGTTCAATGGTGGAGACTCAAAGTGCTGCTCACAATCACCCTGCCGCCGACTTGCGACCAGCTCGGTCCTCCAAGTCATCTGGGATAAGGATCCTGAATAATCAAAGTGATTTTGAAAGTAAATGCCACATTCCCTTCCTTCTAGCTTGTACCTCACTGGGAGAAGATTTTTGGAATCGACCTGTCCACCCCACAGATCGGTGTCGTGGAAGCTGATGATGTAAGTCGCTCCTTGATCAAGTGTCTCTTTTGTCTCTGCGGACGTCCGCAAGTTATGATGGGGAAGGGGTGTGTCTCCTATTGACATGTTGCTCCGCACCAGGCTGACAGCGTGTGGATGGACATGGGCGAAGGCAATGATGATGACATGCCATCTGTGGACGAACTGGAGGACTGGATTGAGGACGTTCTGTCTGGAAAGATTGATCCTGATAATGACGATGACGATGATGATGATGATGACGATGATGATGATGATGATGATGATGATGACGACGACGACGACGATGATGATGATGACGACGATGACGACGATGATGATGATGACGACGATGATGATGACGATGACGACGACGACGAAGATGGTCATTAATAAATCCGACAAAAAGATCTAAATCTGACCAATGCAGTTTAAAGTGCTAATATGAAAAGCAAGTACATCATTTGTTTTCATCTCATATCTTCGTCATTTTTACTAAATTCCAATATTGCTCCCCAGTCTATTGCCCTGCACAATTCTAACCTTTGAAAAGGACTGCTTGTCCTTTTATATGATGAAGGTCGGTGGTGTTCTACTCGGTACTGGAGGGTGCGGCGTATTGTACTGAAAGATATTTAAAACATGTTGACTCTTTTTCTTGTTTTCCTCGGGGTGAAAACGCCAAGCCAAATCCGAAGGTGCTAGGAGCTTTTTAACGATGGCTGTTTCAGTATCATCAGCCTACTCGGTCAAATCATTGTAACACTGTACATCGACAGATGTTTTCTATGACAATGAAGTATAACAGCAGCCATATTTTATTTTTGTAACAAGAGAAATTACTTAACTGTGAAGTCTTAAATAAATGACAGATTTGGACAGAAACACCAACGACTTTGTGTTTGTACACTTTGTTTAACAATTGATTGGCACATGACACTGCACCTTGGTTTCAGACAAATGAAATAACCCAGCGAAAACATGAATATGATTATAGAATCCAGTGTGACAACTACTCGTGCAACATTGGAGACATTCATCCAGCCATTTTCAACACTGCTTATCCTGAGATCAGGGTCGCAGCAAGTTGCTGGAGCCGGTATCTCAGCTGACTTGGGCCGGAAGGCAGACTACACCCTGAACTGGTTGCCAGTCAGTCGCAGGGCACATAGAGAGAAAAACAACCATTCACACCCACATCCACACCGTCACCGAGTGGGAACCGATCCCACCCAGGTAAGCCCAGTGTAAAGGTGGAGGAGAAGTAGGTGGTTAATAATTTTTTTAAATGAGTCAAAATTAATCTAAAAAATCAGTTTGGGGTGAGAATTAGGAAAAGTTCAAGAGTTTAACCCATAAATGTATTTTTGAAGTACTATATCTTTTGTGACATGAGTCACAAGACTTTTCCAACACACCTCATTCACACTCACATTCATCATGTTGGAGTCTTTGGTTTGAAACATGTATATTTTTATGAATAAATAAATATGTAACCATTTTATTTATCTGTATTTGTATTGATTGTGGAAGCGCATTGCTGCCTTACGTTTCGTGTTTTTACATGATAATTCTCACGTTTTTCCGTAGGTTTCATGTTTTAGCGCAATAAAAGGTTATAACTTTCACGTATGAACGTGATCCGGAACATTTGGGAGGGAGCTTCCGTGCAATAATATTTTAAGATTTTATTTTGTTGAATCGTTTTATATTTGAACGTCATTTCCTGTGGTAAGTTGCGTCCCACCCCCTTTGATTCGCGTTCACCTTTAGCGCACATGCGCGTGCTGCTGTTACACTCGCTGTTGATGCAAGCCATGTGGTTGTTGGTATTTTTTTGGGATGAAACGTTTATATTTTCGTGAATAATTGTACTTTTACGTTTCCTACGTAGACGTTGACGCGAAAAAACGGCCTAAAATGTCGGCGGAGGACGTAAACATCCACGCACAAGTGGAGTCTGTGCTGGGTGCGCTCGTGAAAGTGGCCACGGTGGAGTTGACCAAACTGTTCGAGAGCAGTTACAGAGCTTCGGCTGCTTCGGTCGAAGTGGGCCGCGCCGACGGCGGAAAGGGGAGCGAGTCCCCGGATAGTTTGTCGTCTGCAGAGAGAACGCGCAGCATCGGGGTGCAAGTGGACGACGACATTCACTCACCGCTCACGCTGGCGTGTATGTTGCTCACTGAAATGCGGCTCTTGGATTTTTAGTCGGCGGTTAGTTATTCTGGAACGAGCGACACTTTTTGGGCCAATGTCGCCGTTCCGTGGCCCCATGGCGGCTCAAAACAGCCGTAGGCACTTGCATGCACCGTCGAAATGACTATTAATACGAATAGGTTTGGGTTTTTTTTTCTGCACTTAACGCAGAGCCACTCGATACAAAGGAATGTGACCCTTTGTTGTCTTTTGCAGATGGCGATTGTTGCCGAGAGTCCGGAAAGGAGCAGGAGGCGCAAGGTTGTCTCCGCGTTCTTTTTGCTCGAGATACACCACGAGTCAAGGTGAAGACATGGGCCGTGGAGTGGGAGGGAAAGTTTTGAGCTGTTGTTAATCAACTCAACTCGACTATATTTCTTGAGCACTTTAAAACAACCACAGCTGTATACAAAGTGCTGCACGTGGAGCAAATACCATATTTCCAACAGTAATCAGTAAATTAATAACGAAGACAGTACAAAGCACAAAAACAGCAAAACTAAGATAAAGTCTGTGTCATGCTGAGTCAAAAGCCAAAGAATACAAATGAATTTTGAGACGAGTTTTAAAGATGGGCAGCGAGGGGTCTTGCCGAACGTTCAGTGGGAGGTCAGTCCAAAGAGAGGGACCAGCAACGGAAAAGGCTCGGTCCCCCCGTAGCCTCCGTTTAGTTCTTGGTATCTCTAATGATGTCTGGTCCGCAGACCTGAGGCACCGGGCAGGTGTTTAGAGGTGGAAGAGCTCAGAGGGGTAAGGTGGAGCGAGGCCGTTTAAAGATTTTAAAACAAATAATAGGATCTTAAAAATAACTCTAAAATGTATGGGATGCCAGAGTAGGAGTTATGTGCTGCCTCTTACGAGTACCAGTCATGAGGCGAGCAGCAGAATTCTGGCCCAACTGGAGACGCTTCATGGAGGATTGGCTGACTCCAAAGTGCATTACAGTAATCCAGCCGGGAAGTGACGAAGGCATGAATTTCTGTTTCAAAGTGCTCATGAGAAAGGAGAGGCTTGACTTTAATGAAGATCTTGGCAACGTTTTTTTTTTGTTTTTTTGTAACTTTGGACTGCAAACTATCAGTCTATCACTGTTTTGTTTTTTGTTTCGTGAAGCAGGCAGAGGCTTTGAATGAGGCAGAGTTCAGCATCCTTGAAACAGACTGTGGGCCACAGCCAGACGCTACTTTGGATGGTAAGTGGAGTACAAGTACACGAGTTACATTTTTGTACTTTTAAATGTGAAGTTGGTATTATCGAAACCATCCACTTTTGTTTTTGCAGCTCAAAGATGTGAGGCGAGGCGAAGCCCACGAGCTGAGAATCAGCCTCCTGCGGCGCAACCCCACCCGAGCGATGAAGTCTCGTTTGTGTGTTGTCCGCTAAGCCTGAAGCCCGAGTTTCCCGCGCCTCGGCCTGACAGCTCCGAGACGCCCGTTAAGGCGGAGCCCCATCAAGCTTGCGCCAGCGCAGCCAAGGGCACGGCTGACAGCCTGTGCCTTGGCGAAGGGGCCCCGACTCCGGTGCCGGTTGGCCTTTGGGAACATGTGCCTGCGCCAAAGGAGACCAAAAACCTCCTCCAGATGAAGCTGAAACTCTCCTCGCGTGACCGAAAGCTGAGGAGCGCGTGTGTGGTTCAACTCGTCAACGTGCTGTCTGCAGCAGAGTTGCGGGCGAAGATTCAGAAGAGCGGCGGCGGTAAAAAGAAACGGCCCGTGCCGAAAGATTTGCGGCGCCATCAGGGCGCGCACACGGGGCGCCGCCTCTGCTGCTTCACGGCCTGCGAAAAAGGCGTATGGCGACTGCAGAAAGCCGTCGGCCACTCCCGCGACGGCTACGCCTGCGGCGCTTGCGGCAAAACGTTCAAGCGGCGAAAGCATCTGCGGCGCCACGAGCGCTTCCACACGGGCGAAAAGCCTTACTCGTGCTCCAAGTGTTCCAAGACGTTTGCGCTCAGGAAGAGCCTCCGCCGCCACGAGAGATTCCACACGGGCGAGAGGCCGCACAAATGCACGCACTGTGACAAAAGCTTCCGCCTGCGAGTCAATCTGAAAACGCATCTGAGATTTCACACCGGAGAGAAGCCGTACCAATGCGGCCAATGTGGAAAGATGTTCCGGATCCTGGGGAATCTGGACAGACACAAACTCAACCCGTGTGGATTCTTTGCGCCGTCATTCCGGACCATCGCCGGCTTGTAGCCGAGACTCGCGCGGCCCCTTTCGCGCCGCGCTCCCCGACAAAGCTGCCGCTGTGCCCGAATGTCAACGAGGCTTACAACCACCTTGAATTCTGTACGTTTCTGGTTTAGTCATGTTTGTTTTCATAAATTGCAGGGGGAAGTTTTCACCTTTGAAATAGTAATCTTGCATTCCTGACGACAACGCAGAGAAGGAAGCGTAAGGCGCCGTGACTGCGATGTGATGTTTAACGCAGCGGCGTTGGGGCGAGTGGTGTTTCCTCTCCGGCGTGACAATTTTACAGAACTCTGGGTGAAAAGGGCTTTTCAAGAACGCGCGTAACGTTCGCTACCTCAAACAGCAAACCCAGTGAAGGTTCCATGAAAATGTTGCGGGGTTTTCTTTTGGTTGTTTTATTTTTTTTTTTTTTCAGAAAAACACTGATGTTCTCTTCCTTTTTATTGAGCTTGTACTACCGTTTAGTTCTGCGACTGGATAAAGTTCTCTCAGGTTCTACAACCGGTACAAGATGATGAGGTTGTGGTTTCGGCTGATTCCGAATTTGCATTTACGGGTAAGGAAAACAAATGTGGACCTTTTGACTTGACAGCTTGTTGTTACTGACCAAATAATTGATTTTCACCATGTATTGATCCAATAGAAACACTGTAGTGAACAATTGTGGTGTTGTTGCAGTCTGAGAGATGTTTTCTGATATTCTGGTGCGATGCAGTGACAATCACGATGAACATTTTTGGATTTTCCTCTTTTGCAGCTCTTGGACTGGAAATCAAAAGTAGGGCACATGTTCTTTGCGGTATCTGATTTTTTTTTAATCTGTTTTTGTAGTTTAAAGGACCCTTTGTTTTAACTCTGTCTTTATGATACTTGAAATGTCATTCGCTTTACTTGCTACTTTTTGTCTCTGTTTCAGTTATGTCACAATTACAGAATGAATGTGTTGTCTTTCCATACTGAAGAGTTTAGGGTTAAGGAACTACTGACTTTGTATTTTTATATGTCATGTCTTCTGGAAGATGTATGGAAAGTGGCAGAAGACTTGAGATTAAATTTTTTTTTTTTTAATCCATTGTTTCCGTCCGTGCAGGTGCACCGTAAATATACGCCAACAAGGATGAGTTCAAGATTCTTTATTTTCAGGTTTCCTGTACATTTGACTACTTGGACCTGTAAAAGCAGCATGAAAATGACACGTCTGCTTTCAAAGTTCCTCTTTTCAATGTGGCCGGCCGGCTACACTTTGAGCCATTTTCTAACATCCTGCTCCTATGTGGCCGTATGAAGTCCAAACTACGGCACGACGGCCTGTACTTGTCACCTCTATCAAACTTTGAAACAAATGTCCTTGTTCAAAACATGGTTTCCATGTGTACTTATATTGTGGCAGCTGCGCTCCTTGATTATAAAAATGTGCGGCTGGCGATAATTGGCACCGGATGTCTGACTGTAGTAAGAGCACAGCGAAACTTCCTTATTCAGAGGGAGGCATTTCCAGCCACACAATTACACTGTCTGTTGCTTTACGGACAGAACAGACCTAAAATTTAAAAAAAAAAGACATCAGAGGGGTAATCTCTTCAATAAACTCCACCCATCTTCTATACTGCTTCCAGCCTATCGCGGCGGACTTCAGGCAAAAGGCGGACAACGCCCTGAGAATGACCGCCAGTCAAATCGCAGGGCACGGACACAAACAGCCAACCATTCACATTGTCACTAAGTGGGCAACCACATCTACACTGCCAAGTCAACCACTAGTAACTTTCATCAACTCCAACTTCTGATAGCAAAATGTTTCGCATCTTCAGAGCAAGACTTCGCAATTGCTTTTCAAGACATTATTGAAGAAACACAAAAACTTAGATTGAACAACATTGGATGCTTCCAAGAAATCCTGGTGCCTGACTGTAGGCCGTATTCCTATTTACGAGTTTAGAGAACACCAAAAAAAAAATATGCCAGGCTTTAACAGTAACAATGTTCGAGTCGCGGTACAACCAACAATAGTTGAGAATCTTGCAGGGCTGGCATTTATTTCACCGTTCCCATGGTCTGGTTTCTGATGGAGCACCATGCTTTGAAAATATCACTGGACAAAACAAAAAAAAAAAAATGATTTTTTTTTTTTTGTGTTGTACATATTATAAGCTCACAACTACAGTGTACTAAAGTTTTGTGGCTATTGTGTTGGTGAATCGCAAACTCACCTGCAGTGAGAGGCCACGCACTCGTTACTGCAATATTCTTTGTCCCAATCCTCGCTCTCGACTGCTGGGTTTGTGCAGCCGGACCTCACGCACACGCACGGCACAGCCGAACCCTCGCATGGCTCGTTCACCTCCATCTCATCCTGAAATATGGGATGGCAAAGCATTGCCCGTATGTCGATTGGAATGGCTGTCTGGCTGTCACGTGCGCAACGTTTGTCAGCGATGAAGTGGCATCAAGTTACAAGGGGGGGGGGGGGATGTCGGGTAGCTAAAACGGATCATTTTTGATCGTGTACCATACTGACTCAGATTTGTCAGTCAAACAAGAAACCATGTGACGCTTTTGTGAGGATTCAGAGCCAACAATTGCGTCTGTCACCCGGATAACGGAGGCGCAACAGGTTGGCGGTACCGCGGTTAAGGGTGACTTTTCAGGATAAACCGAAAATGCACTACACTTCAATAAGTGAGCCCATTTTGACCTTCTCCATACCTCGTCTCCAGACTTTGCAATTAATGAACATCTCAATCAACGCGATACCCACAGGAAAAAGGACGACGCACCTCTTCTGAAGGCAGCACCTCTGAGACGACCTCGTCATCATGCTGACCGGCTGACCCAGCAGAATTCACCACCTGCACTCCTGCCGCAAGCGTGGATGCCGAAACCGTTGGTGCCGCCGCAGCCGTGGTGGAGATGATAATGGGCTGCGTGTCTTTTCTCTGCAAAGAGGCGGGAACTATTTTGATCTGAAGCGGAGGCGGCGGGGCAGCTGTGATGGACACGGGGAGTCCCGTCGCACTTCCTCCCTCCCGAGGCTTGGCCTGGAGTAAGCGCGGCGGCGCTGGCGCCATTTGTTGCAGTGGCGGCGGCGGGGGCGCGTTCTGCATCTGCTGCAGGGGTGGCGGCTGGCGAGGGGCGCTGGACACCACGAAGGTGGGCTGCAAGGTGTGGATGCCACCGGGCAGCAGGGTGACAAACTGCCCCCCTGTCTGAAGCATGTGTTTGGGGATTAGGATCTTGGTGATGGTCTGGGGCGGTGGGACTGTAGCGGCGGGGGCTGCTGCTGCTGCTGGGGCCGCCGCTGTTTTGGTTGCGCCCGTGCGGGAACGAGTTGCCCTCTCTGGGATATCCAGAATGATGTTGGAGGCACAGATGTTGGTGATGGTGTTTTCTTCAACACTATTTGCTGGACGGACAACCTGATGACTAACAGGCGGGGCAGCTGCAGGCGCTTGGCTGACATCAGGCGGAGGTGGTGAAGGTGCAGCCGCAACCACCTCGCAGGCGGACTGAGGCGTGAGAGGAGACGGAAAAATGAGCAAAAATCAGGGAATTTCTACGACTGCTGAATCAATCTTACCTGTGAGAGTTGACTGGCTCGATAAGCTGCCAGAGCTTTTAAATACTCCTTTTTGGCAGCATCGGTCTTTTTCTTATACACCTAAAAGAAACGTAGTGAGAGAGTTAGGTCCATCCATACAATTGGCCTTCATTAGTACAATTAGTTTTTGTGTTCTTTTGTTAAATCACCACAGAATAGAGTCGACCTCATTCAGACTCAGGGACAACTGATAAGAATGTGAACATGTTACTTGAAATTTGGCTGCACAGTTAAAGGGAAAACTTGGATTTTTTTTCCTCGAAAATGTTGTTTGTTATGTTTGCTAAAATAGTCATGATGACTTAACAGATTGAAATCATAAATATGATCTGTGGGGGTGGAGGCAGTTCAGCGTTCTCAGCCCCCCCCCATCTCATGCAAGCATGCGCGCACCTGTTTCTGCTCCTCGGCCAGGCTGTCCCACATGGAAGCCACAATCTTTGACACCTCTCCAAAAGAAGCATTTGGATTCTGGCCCTTGATGGCCGCCTGGGTGTCTCGGAAAAAAAGAGCATACGCAGAAACTGGCTTTTGCGGCTCATTGGGATCTTTCTTCGGCCGGCCCATTTTGGTAACAGTCGCTGATGGGGTTGGTGTCCCCAAGGCCCTTTTGGAAGTTGTCAGGGAGACAGAGGACTGGACAACTGGATGGGAGAGGACTGAGGATGAGGACAGAGACATGGGGGAGTCGACCAGCACGCTCCGCTGTGACAAAGACACATTAAAGAGTGTCGTTTAGTTGCAGGGCAGGTGAGAAAGCATGGAACATCAAGGTGATATTGAAAGAAACACCTTTCACCTTAAAGTCATCCATGTCCTCATCTTGTAAGGAGCCGCCTGGGGAAGGTGTCGCCGACAGCGGCAGTTCCGAGGTCGCAGCGGGAGGTCCCATGCAATCTCCTAGACCCAGCGCCAACTCCGTCGGGTTAATGGTAGACAGCTGACCGCTTCCTAATAGCCCATGAGCGATATCGGCGAGTTGAACGTCGATAGTCATTGGGGATGAGCTGCCAAAATGGGAGCCGCCGCTGTTACCCAGCTCCTGAGGATTGATAATATGAAAACAAAGTAGAAAAGAGCAGAGTTAGGCAAAGCAATACTCACTCACAGTACACCTACAGACGCTTCTGAGTCTGTAATTAACCTCACAAATTCCTTGTGTGTTTAGAATGTACTTGGGCAGTAAAGATTATTCTGATTCTGACACGCATTGTTTTGGGGAATGCAGAAGAAAGCCAGAGTGCCGAGAGAAAATCCAGGGGCCATATTTCACATTTATCTGAGCAAAACACACCTGTCGTGATCCGCATTTTTGGTGTGTCTCATGTGTTTTATTTAGATTCTTGCCATGTTATTTATTAGAGAAATGTTGGTTCTGAACTGCCCCAGACTATATTCGTGGGAAAGATACATGCTGAAATATTGCATTGAGTATTGATGGTGTCTATAATGGTGACGTGACAGTCGGCGGTATTAAAAGTTAAAGTCAGTTGATTAATATCCCATCAAAAGGCCAGGTACCATAACACATAGTCCACCGCTGCCCAATAGACAAATAGGTACAATCCGCATCTCAAGTAAATAGCCATGTGAGGAAATAGCATTTTTAGGAGGTGGAGTACATACCAATGATGAGGAACTGAGAAGGGCTCCTCCATTTGCCTGAGCCATGGCCCCCATGTTGAGATGCTCCAGGCCTTGGGAGCCGTTATTCACAAAGGCGGATGCAAAAGACGGATCATTAGCTTGCACCACCAAGTTGTTAACCAGGTTACGAGAACCCGAAGGTCCCACGGTGCCACCTGACCCGTCTGACATCTCAAAGTGAGACACTGCTTCAGCAATACCTAGGGACGTATCTGGGTCGAGTGAGATAGGGGGAATCTCAAAAACCTCATCTCCGAGGCTGGGGGTGTGGAAAGTCTGCTGTTAGGTGGGAAGAAAACAGTTTTTTGGTGGTCAGAAATTGTACCCATTTTGGAAAGCCGTTTGAGCTTTAATTGATGCCCTTGATATCAAGCTTTAGGTCCAGGCTTCACTTGTAACTAGTAGAATGACTGTGTCTCAATAGTAATGTTTCTGTCTACTGCTAGTCCCACTTTTGGCCTCGTATCCATTGGCACTAGTAGCACTATTAGGCCCAACGAAATGGCATTTCAGGCTCAATTAGAATTAAAACGCCCACTTGTAGTTTTGCCGATCGTCTATTTGTCCTACTGGTGAGGCCAATGAGCAGACTAGTCCATGGACCTTAATATGGTTATTAGGGGTATCGAATGCTTAAACGGCTTTCCATAGCGCTACATTCTCTTATATCATTCAAAGGCGGAATGAGTGAAATATTAGGATTCAGTTACCTCAGCGGACAAAAAGTGATGAGCGCCACCACCGATAGTTAGATAACTATCGCTGCCCTCTGAAAACTGAAACACATGGTTGGCATTAAATGACAAATTTGAGGCACTGACAT